AAGCGGTGGCGGAAGCGTCCTGTTCAAACAATCAGCAGCAGCAGCAGCACAAGCCGGGGAATTTTTCAACGTATGTTTATTTTTTCTAGCTGATGACGATGGATGACATTCCTCCCCCTCTGATGATAGCACGCCCCCCTCACGGCTGACGATGGATACCACCCCCCTCTCTAGCTGGTGATGATGGACCGCCCCCCGTTCTTCTGTAACAGACGCACGAGCCTACTGCAGGTACTTTTGTGCAACCACCACAAAAAACTATTCCACCTCCCGATCTAGTAAAAGAAATTACCAACATCGTTTGTCTCATTGGATGGCTGCGGTTGTGCCGTAGATGCGTTTTGTACGCCTATCCGTGTGGGACCACCCATTACAGCTGCCAGTTTGAGTACTACAATTTAGACGGCGTATTTGTTATCTTCACGGTTGTTACGCATGTGTCCTCCGACGGTATGTACTGTAGACGACACAAGATAACACCCCCCCCACACACAGAATAGGACAGCTTCACAACGTTATTCGATGATTTGTTGGGCGTTTCTGACAAGCCCTGGATTTAGTTTCAAACAGCGAGCAAAAGCAGTTCTTTTTTGGTGCGGAACCGACCCTTTTTTCCCCTGAATCGTTTCCGGCAAAATGCTTTGTTCTATTCGTGATTCGTGATGTCATCGCGATAAATACGTTTCCTTCCCTGAATACACGCTTTCCTCGACATACAACAGGTTGACTTGGTTTTGCTCGCCATATTGTGGAGCAACGGTAAAAGCCCAAAGAGCAGCACCCGACACAAAGAGGAGCAATTTTGAAACATCCCGTCCACTCGAACCGCTGTTTTCAGCGACAGGCGCAGGGTAGAGTATCGTAACCTGGGCGTTACTTGCGATTTCTTATGGTAGCCTTCGGTAGCCGACTCATTTTTCACAGTTGCGACCCCCTTCTTTGAACTCCACGAGTCGAAAGGTAGACGAGCCCAAACAATCATAGGGCGGCAGCGGCGCTGACGGCCAGCATCATTTAGATGACCAATCCTAGAGAAGTAGCGTGTCGAAGGCCCTGTTGCTCTACTGCAGCGTGGTGCCGTGGATTGGTGTTGTTGTCTCCGACCAAGAACAGACCATCTCGCCGCATTTTTTCAAACGACAGTTTGGCGAGGTGGCACAAATCTCTCATACGCCTTCTTGAGCAGTCCCCAAGCCTTCAATACCTACGAATGAATTAGCGCGTTGGAGGTCTTGGTGCTGCCGCTATACTCGTTCTACTGTTTCCGTGTTTGTTGTATGTCACTGTGTCATAAAAGAAAATCCCCAGCACCCACAGCAGCAGTTTAAGACGAGGGCACCACGTAATTTCTCGTTTTGGACCAACAACGGACCGAACGCGGCTTCTGCCACTTGCCCATCTCTGCAACAAACCTGGACGTGAGTCTGGCGGGTCTGTCTAGCGTTCTCAGTGATGTTACAGCGACCGCGGTGCGCCTGCCCGACCCTTGTGTCGAATTCCCGGATCCGGGAAAGGAGCAAGCCCCCCCCAAACAACTGCTCTCTTCTTTCCCGGATCGGGACAGAAACGCCTCCATTAATTCTCGAGAAAACACGGAACCGTGTTTTTTGCCGTTATTTGTTTGCTGATTGGAATGGCCCTTATGGAAAAATTTCCGATTTGGAATCCCGATTGCACGCATTCTACATCCAAACCCACATGAGGCCGCAGGAGTTCTGCGTACTTTGTTGGAAAAGCACACAAACGCGCTTTGGCACTCAGTTCTCGCCTCACAGAAACCCGTTGGCATTCAAACCTTCGAAGTCGCGCAGTGCATTGCTGTGAGCCTCTTCGGGCATTTGGGGAGCTGGGGTGCAGATGTGCGTTCATCATGCTGGGTAAAAGAGGACTTCCAATTCGGAAATGCTGGACGATCCTGGTTGGAATTCCTCATGAATTCCCAGCTGGACGTGCTTGAAATTCCCGACTGGAAATGGTGAATTTGCACTCATCATCAACGGCATGCTCTGCGCACAGTGCACTCCAGCAGCCCAAACGTGGCTCCGAGGAGCTCACAGTAGTGGAGTGTACAGCCTTATCGGTTGATAACAAACAGGGGTCTGTGAGGCGAGGACCATGACGACGCGCCTCGGTGCGCTCTGCCTGCTATCCAGTTCGCAGATATCCTGCTTCTTGGGTGGTGAAGCATTTTCTGTCGGTCCCCCGGATTTCAAACCAGAAAATTACAACTGGCCTAGTCACCCGGGCTACATAAGGTAACAAACATTCTCGGGGTAATTATGCCGCAATCATTCTCGGGCCCCCTCCTTGTATAATCGGGGTGAGGCAGCATCTGCCCCGTGGGCATCGCACACGCACACATCTGCGTGTGGGGAAACACCCCGCATAGAGGCCTCCAACAACATGAACGTGCAGAGAGAGCAGAATGCCGCCGCAAGTGCCTCCGCTTCTTCCACAACTGCTTCGATCGCAGCAGTACAAGCGCCGCAGAGCACCTCGTGCTTTCAACGCGAGCGAGCACACTTCTTGTACGCAAGCAGCTCCTGCCACGGCTCGTCCTCCTACTGCTGATGATCTACGCAAGCGGCTCCTGCCACGGCTCGTCCTTCTGCTGTTGATGATCTGACAGCAGCAGTAGCTGGCACAGCAACAGGCACCAACATGACAGTCACCGCATCACCACACCAACACCAGCCACACCCCCTTCAAGTGTGCGGCAGCAGCGGTTCAACTCTGCAAGCAGTCTTAACACCCCCCCTCTTTTGTCACACCCCCTCATTGTCGCTTGGCAACGACGTTGTAAAACAAGTCCCCCCTTGGGTGTGTTACCATGAATGGTGGTCGAGTAGATCATGTTGTGCGGGGTCGAGAACCCTCACTCCGCGCAAGGTGGATGATCGCACCACGTTGTGTTAAAATGGTCAAGCACCCTCGAGGCAGTTACACAGTGCTTACAACTGTCTCAAGAAGTGAAAGCACCAGAAAATAAATCACGTTATACACAGCTGTCATCCGTACGCAAGGAAGTAAGCACAAGATGCCGAACACCCTTAGCCGGAAGCAGCGCACCCTCCATGCGACTCGTGGAATATCTTACGGCGCTTCGCGCTTGGTGATGTGAGAGCCTGGTCCGGTGAGAA